CTGGGGTCTGCACTGAGACAGCGGGCGGGGATCCAGGGCAGAGTACAGCTAGCCTGGCTATAGAAGTCCCTGAGCCCAGAACCACCAGCCGCAGCGGGAGGAGAAGCAGCAAGTAGCTCTGTTCCCGCCCTGTGGGAATTCTGTACCATCTCAGCCTGCATCGAGGGGGCTGCAGGAGCTCACACAGATCTCTCTGTCTCTGGCAGGCCTGGAGGTTGAAGAATCCACCGTGTATTCACGCATGATCCAGGCAGCTGTGCAGCAGAGAGATACCCACCTGACCATCACCCCAACAGTGCTGGGGGAGAGGCACCTGCCGGACCAGCTGGCCTCCGTGACCAGCATCTCCTCCTCTGACCTCTCCCTGGGGCACGTGACCCGGGCTCTGTGCCGAGGCATTGTTCAGAACCTGCACTCCATGCTTCCGATTCAGCAGCTCCGGGAGTGGGGCGTGGAGCGGGTGATGGGCAGTGGGAGTGCGCTGTCCCGGAACGAGGTGCTGAAGCAGGAGGTGCAGAGGGCTTTCCCTTTGCCCGTGTCCTTTGGGCAGGATGTGGACGCAGCTGTCGGGGCAGCCCTGGTCGTGCTCCGGAGACACCTCAACCAGAAGGAATCTTAAGACAGCAAACTCTTTCACCAAAGGACTGCTGCGAACGTTACCTGGTTAACATTCCTGACACCATCTGTGGGTCATCCTTTCCCTGGACAGTTCAGTGGACAGCTTTTAAGCCGTGCTCGTTGTGAGGTTCCATCTCGGCCAAGAACTTCCCTTCAGAACATACTCTAATAAGGCAGCCAGGAGCCGTCAGCCAGATCCCACATGAGTGCCTTCTGAAAGAGACCCGCCTGGGAGCTCTTTACAAATGTCAGTGTGGGAGAGAGAGAGCGTGAGAGCACAGTAACCCAGGCTCCTGGTCAGCAGACTCCTGTGTGGTTCACTTGTAGACAGAGAGCAGATCAGTGTGTACTTCAGACACCAGAAAGTCCGGTGACTGTGGCCCCAGGTAAGAAAGGAAGACCTGCCCCATGCCCAGCTTTCGATTATTGTTTTTGGAGACCTGAAGCTCAGACTCGGGTCATATGGACTTCTGGAACAGTTCTTCTGTCCTGGACTGAACCATGTGACCGGAGGCCCCTTTCCTAGTCTCATCCTCCCCCTGGCCGCAGGTGCTCAGCTGGGCCAGGGAGTAACCCAAGCACGATGCAGCAGGCTGGCTCAGAGGACGATGCGGGGCTGCGTGCCGGCCTTCTTGCTGCGTGTACTCAGCCCCAGGAGAGCTTGCTGCACCCGGGCTGCCCAGGTCTTCACGGCACAACTGCCTGGAAGGCAGGTTGCGGAGAAGGAGAGGCGGATGGCCCGAGCAGCAAGGGGGACCGATGCTGTGTGGCTCACACCACTCCAGAACCTGACAAGGCATCAGCAGGACCCTTGCCAGGAGCATGTCTGTGCAGCAGTGGTTTTGCCCCTGCACGTTCCAGAAGTCTTCATCAGAGGGGATGCAGCCAGGCCGACTCCTGCCAGATGGGGCAGGTAGTTCATTCAAAGAGAACTCTGTGTCCCATAGACCCAGGCTCTCCTTTCGCGTGGCGTGGGCTTCGCTGGCCCACTATCTGTTCCTGGCTCAGCAGAAACATCTATTTGAGTCAGCATCCCTGCAGGGACCCCAGAGCATCGTAAGCCTTCCTGTGATTGGTAGGGATGGCTGTGGGGTGGTTTCCAGGAGGGGGCCACCATCGCTGCATCTACTCCCAGACCCCCACAGGAGCCCAGGCTCAGGCAGGCCTGGCCCAGAGGCACCCAGGCAACCACGAGTTTGGGAGGCAGTCGTAGTCTCTCTCTCTCTCAGTATCCACAACAGGTATGAAACATATCGTCTCTTTATAAATGTCATTTTACAAATTATGCGATTATCTGGAAGCTCTGAGATGAGAGCAAATACCTGATCATGCTGGGCAAATGTCAGATACTAAAGCCCATATTAAATGGAAAATTCCTGAAACAGTTCCCCAAGTTTTCCACTGTGCGTGGTGCTGAGCAGTGTGATGGTCTCTGCCGTGCCGTCCGGGATGTGAACTGTCCCTGTTTCCCCAATGTCCACACCGTAGACGCTCCCCACTCCGGTCAGTCACTTGGTCATCAGATGGCCCGTCCTGGTATCACAGTGCTTGTGTTCCCGTCACTCTTACTTCATAAGGGTCCCAAAGCACCCGAGTAGTGATGCTGGCTATTCGGATATGCCAAAGAGAAACCCTAAGGTGCTTCCTTTAAGTGAAAAGATGGGAACACAACAGTCATACGCTGAATCTTCTGTCTGTGAAATTGTAAAGAAAAATTCACGCTAGTTTTTTTTGCTTTTTTTTTTTTGAGACACAGTCTCACACTCTGTTGCCCAGGCTGGAGTGTAGTGGCGCAATCTCGGCTCACTGAACTGCCTCCCGTGTTCAAGCGATTCCCTTGCCTCACCCTTCTGAGTAGCTGAGACTACAGGCTCCTGCCACCACTCCCGGCTCATTTTTTTTGTAGTTTTAGTAGAGATGGGGTTTCACCATGTTGGCCAGGCTGGTCTCGAACTCCTGACCTCAGGTGACCTGCCCACATCGGCTTCCCAAAGTACTAGGATTGCAGGAGGGAGCCACTGACCCCGGCCTCATGCCAGTTTTGCTGTCACACGTGGAACTGCAAAAGTTA